GGTGGCCCATAGACTTTTATTACATTTATTTCTTCAATGCGGGGATGGGTAGGTGTGTTGGTGCGCACGTGTGGATGCCAGTACACAACTCACAGTTCTCTCCTGCCACGTTTGTCTTCGGGATTGAACTCCAGCTGCCAGCTCTTTGCCCACTGAGCCATCTCTCAGGTCCTAATGGACTATTTATTATAAAAATCACTACCAACTAGTGGTAAACTGATTTCCATGGTCATGGACTACACACAGGTACAAAATGGGCTCTACCAACAAACAATACCAACAGGAACTCTGCAAACCTTCTAATCCTTGGCAATTCAATAATTTTTCCTCCTTTCTGCTACTTGAAATACATTAGTTGCTTTTCATAAACTATCATATTCTGGAAAATTTATGTGAACATCTGACATAAGCTTATGAGATGTCAATTATGTAAGGTGCATATTATTTCATTAAAGCAAAACCAATTTTGGATACCACTGATTCTCCTTTAGGATATACACCCTCTATTCCATCTCATTTGGGAAAAAAAAATTATTTAAATAGCTCCCCTAAGCTTGGAGAGATGGCTCAGTACTCGCTTTTTCTTGTAGAGGACACAGACTCAGTTCCCAGCACTGACATGGTAGATACACTATCCTCCTGTGGCCTCAGAGGGTACCAGGTATGCACATGGTACACATACATACAGGCAAACAAACACTCATGCATCCCAAATGAAGACAATCATATCTTTCACAAATAAAGAAATCTAAATTAACATTACCTTGTACCAACATAGCTTCAGCAAATATTAATGAGTAACTCATCAATAAAGTATTGTTTCTCTCTATTTAGGACAATTCAGACCACATCAATCTACACCTGAGTTAAGTCAGTCAATTCTTTAATACTGACTGGCAGTTGTAACCTGCCTGGCACCCACACTTGGAATGGTCTACTGAAGGAAGTTTATGGTACTTACAAGAAACTTCCATCTTAGTCAGGCGGTGGTGGCACACATATTAATCTCAGCATTCGGGAGGCAGAGGCAGATGGATCTCTGTGAGTTTGAGGGCAGTTTGGTCTACAGAGTGAGTTCAAGGACAGCCAAAGCTACACAGAGAAACCCTGTCGTGAAAAACAGATAAACAAAAAGAAACTTCCATCTTATTGGGCATTTCCCATCAAAACCAAATAAACAAACAAACAAAAAACCCCCAAATCCTTTCATATCTACAACTATAGTAGGTGAATTAAAGTCAATTTATATTTATAATAGTATATATAGCTTGATAAAAAGTATTAGTCATTATATTTGTTTAATCAAAATCCCTGTAAGAATGTGCTATTGTTTGTTTGTTTATATAGTTTGGCGGCTCCAGCTGAGAACTTGTGTATGCTAGCAATGCTTCACACTGAGCTACAGCCTTGGACCTCAGGGAAAATTTGAATGGTCTATATACTGCATCCCTAGATAAAGGAACAGTCATCCCCGTAATGCTTCAACATAATCAAGATTAAGTTGACAAAGTGCCAGAGTATACCTGTCAGCCATGGCCAATGATCTGTTGGAAGACAGTAAATTCTGAAACTACCTATGGGCTATCAGATCTACCATACTCCCATCAATATTTCCTTTGGAGCATGTTGGGGATTAAATAAAAAAAACCAGGGTCACAGTCATACTAAACATACAATCTACCAATAAAGTATCTCCTGCCCCTATTTAAAAATATTTTAAGGGGCTGGAGAAATAGCTCAGCAATTAAGAGCACTGACAGATCTTCCAGAGGAACCGGGTTCAATTCCCAGCACCCACATGGCAGCTCACAACTGTCTGAAAATCCAGTTCCAGGGGACCTGACACCTTCACACCAATGTACATAAAATAAAAGATAAATAAATCATTAAATTAAAAAAAGTCATGTAACTGTTTATTATTACAAAATGCATACACACACACAAAATCACACCATAAAAAATAAGATTGAAAGCATCTAATTCAGATTGTCAATCTAAATCTACCACAGCTTAATCCAGCTGTACCATGCAGATCTAATACCACCCCCACAGTAGCATGGCAGGCAAGGAATGTCACTAACACTAAGACGACACAAGCCCCCCAGGCCCTTGAAGGCCAATCAGGTCTTCCAAGGAAGGGCTACTTGAGATCACTCTGGCCATTTTCTTGATGGGGTGGTATAGGTCACAGAAAGAAACAGTAGACTGTATTTGTTTGAGTAAGGCCTGAGTACTACTCTCTTGCTTTGACAGCACAGAGGGAGGGAAGCGACCTAGAGGGTCTTTCAACACCAAGAATGAAGCACAGTCATGCACAAACAACGCACACTAAGAGGCAAACTGAAAATGCTGAGACCAAATGTCTTAAAAATGTTTTAGTTTGGGGCTGGAGAGATGGCTCTTCCAGAGGACTCAGGTTGAATGAACAGCACCCACATCGCAGCTCACAACCATCTACCATCTAGTCAGTTCTAGAGGATCAGATGCCCTCTTCTAGTCTGATTGGCATAGGGCATACATGTGATACACTGACATACATGTAGATAAAATACCCATATGCATAAAATCTAAAAATACTGACTCAGCAGCTGTATCTTCACTAATTTAGTCAAAGGAAATAGATCTTGTCCATAGGTAAGGATGTGATTTATAATGGATGTGAAGGAACAAAAAGCAAGGATTAGAAAGACGTTGTCAGTGTAAGAAGGTGCTCACTGTAAATTAAGCCAACATCTTCACTGATTCCTATTCCAGGCCTCAGAAACGGAACTTGCACTGAATATTAAAATAGACACTAACAATAAACTATACTCAAAATACACTACCACGATCATTCAATATATCAGTAAGAAAGCAAAGTGGAGAACTGGGGTAACATGGCTCATGCCTTGTAATCTTAGTGTTTGACAGACTGAGGCAGAATTGTGGGGAGTTTGGGGCTAACCTGGACCATACAGTGAATTCTAGACCTGCCCACACAAAATAAACCAACATAAGAAACACAATCCTCTACAGAAGTGAGTATGAAACTCACTGGGAACCTCTGCCAAAGTGCATTTCTAGACGTTGGGTCTGTGATGCTCTTTCTTCCTGCTTTCTTTCTCAAAGGGCAATGTGCTATTCTGAAAACCTGACTATTACATGTTAATTCAGGACTACTTTCTCCTTTGGCAATAACCGTTGGGAATAATATAGAAACTTGGCTCTTCACAAAAAAAAAAAAAAAAGCATAGATCACAAACTGTTTTGATGCAGCTTTTATGTTTCCAGGATCTAAAATTAATTTTCACTGGTCATATTAAATTGATAAGCCTGTCATAGTGAGTTAGAAATCTTTGGAAATCACCAGGACCTGGTGGCACGAATCTTTAATTCCAGTGTTTGTGAGGCAGAAGTAAAGACAGAGAATCTCTTTGAGTTCTAGATCTTGTCTCAAAAACAAATAGTTTGTACTATTATTAATCTGGGATAGTATTAAATCTGTCTGAGAATACAGCCATCAATGACTAGCCAATAAACAAGAGAAACAACAGATTTTAAAAGCAAGACCCCTGATTTTCACAGGCATTGAACTTAGCTCCCTGGAAAGAGGCCAGCTTAGCAAGAGAGGAAAATGTTCCAAGGACCCCTGGGTTGACAAGGTTAAACTACAGCCTGTGCCCTGTTCATTATATCCAACTCCTTTCATGCTCTACCTTAAAAGGGACAGAAGTATTTTTTTTTAGGCTAAAATCCAATTAGCAGCTCTGCAAACAATCTTTTGAAGGTTCATTTCTTATCTGCAAACACAGAGATCTCAAACTGCTAATGAAGCAACTAGAGCTTATTAAACACCACGGCTTCAGGCACAGCCCCAATCAACTCCCTACACCTTAATGAGTCCTGGAAGCTGCGCTGCCCACTGCAGTATTCTCTGTCAGAAAGGAAAAGGCTGGCAGCCAGAGGGCACTGAAGTGTTTACAGGGAGACTCATCCAGACAAGGCCATCAACTACAGTGGGCCACAATGCAGGTCACTCTGGAACTCCTCCGGTTAAGAGACCACCTCAGTAAAAATAGCACGCTAAAAAAAACCCAACTCACTCATCATAAACTCGTTTTTAAAAAATTCTCTTGGCTTTAAAAATATGCCTAAAGGGTTTTTAAATTCTCAGGTTTGACAAATTTATATGAAGTGGTCTACTTTAAGGGTGCCTTCTGGGTGTCACTCTCAAAGGTAGGATCAGTGCAGACATGGATGGAAGGAATGACAGGGTGACAGAAATAAAATGAGTAAGAAATCTTTCCTGTTGAAGCACAACCATCAAAGCTATCTGTCTGGAGGAAACAACTGCTGGCCATAGTAAAAGTAAAAAGGCACCAGAAACGATGAAAGCATCGTGGTTATTTTCTGGGTAATTATTCAGCCATCACTTGTTTAGTATAAGGAACTCTTTAGGTAATACCTAGTCCAGACCACAGCTAAAGTGCTCAAGATGAAAACACAGGATAAGCCCTGAAGGTTACGTAAAGCACCCTATACTTAAAACTGTGCTAGGCCAAGGAGCTCAACAGCCCAGGGCTGGGGAACCTAACTTCATAGAGCGTTTGCCTAGCATGCAAACTCCTGGATTTCATACTTAGCACCACATAAAATCCAGGCTCACTGGGTCACACCAGTAATCCCAACATCTTTCTTGTGGAGGAGGCAGGAGGATCAGCCTCAGCTACAAGACATGAGAATGTTTTTTTTTAAAAAAAAAGAAAAACAAAAAACCCACCAGCACCAAAAGACTCCCATGCCAGTAGCAGCTATGACAAAAGGAAAAAATGAACTAATATTAAAAAAAATAATTTAACTTCTGTTTTTTTTGGGGGGGGGGTTTCAACTCCTATTCGTATCTACATACCATAAAGTGTCCCTACATCGAAAATCATCTAAGGTGCTTAAAGATCGACTAGCACAGACAAACCTTCCGAGGTCCCCATTTTCCCTCCCACGTGGTGCAGGCCAGCATCCGTTCCCCCGCACTCCGCAGGCCACGGCTGCCTTGCGACACCTGCTCGCAGCCCTCTCTCTGACCGAGCGCAGTACCTCCTGCGCTCCCCCAGGCTCTCCAGCGTCCGCACCTCCGAAGCGGTGAGTGACTGCAGCGTAGCCAGCGACAAGCAGGGGGCTGGAGCCACAGGGGCTCGACGCGATCGACCCTGGTGACAGTCACACCAGCCAGGAATTGTTTAAAAGGAGACTAAGGCGAGAGGCGAGAGGCGGGTGGGGGAAGGGAGCGCGGACGCGCCGGGTGGTGACCGCGACCGTGGGGGACACCGAAGCCCCAACCCTCCCAGCTCGCCCGCCCTCGCTTCACCCCGGTCCGTGGCGGGTGGGGGTACGCGGCAACGCCGGGGCGGAGGAGAGCACGGCTCGGGCCCGAGTCTCACCCGCCGGCGAAGAGATGAAGCAGCGTGTTCTCCTTCTGCTGAGCGCCCGTCGCCATGGCCGCG